CATCGAGTCAATTCTGACTCATAGTGACCCTGTAGGACAGAGTAGAACTGCCCCATAGGGTTTCCAAGGCTGTAATTTTTACAGAAGCAAATTGCCACCCACGTCTTTCTCCCGCGGAACTGCTAGTAGGTTCAAACTGCCGCAACAAGGCTCCTTTAGGTAATAAATACACCCCGTAACTCTTCGTCAGATGCAGAATTTCCATTTTCACCTTGTGGGACTTGTGGGGGGGATGTCCTATCAGTAACTAGAGAACGTGTCCGCCAGAAGAAAAGCCAAACGTTCTTCTTTTTCTCACAGTATGTATTTAATGCACGAATGAGATTTTTCTTTCTTTCAACACATAATCTTCTTCATTTTAGCACATTTCCCCCCTGGGCTCTCAAACTCACTGTTCTTTTACTGAGCCCAAGTTTACGGTGAGTTATCTGCACTTTAAGTACTCATTTCTACAAGGTGGAATGACTAGCAAAACAGCCTCTTGGCTTCCAGACAGATTGCCAGAAAAGTATACAAGAGATATATTTGGGATTTGAGTTAAAAAAAAAAAGGAAAAAATCCAAAGCACAAAATGTTCCTTTGGCCATGTGACGACAAAAAAACAAAACCCTAAAAAAACCCCAAACAGTCTGTACGGAGTAAAGATGTGTCCCAGCCTCAGCAGACAGGACACAGCACGGCTGCCCCTCGGCTGACACAGCACCCACAGGTCTGCCCCCAGGACCCAGGGTGCCCGGCCAGCCCTCCTGCCCATCCCTACTGCTGAGCCGTCAAGGAGCATTTATACTTCCTCTGCCCTCGGCTGCTTCATCTGAAATATTTCCAACACCCTCGCCTGAGATGTCTATCAAACTAAATGATGAGAAAACAATAAAGGCCAACAAAGGAATTCGCGCGCCGCACAGGAGGAGGGCCACAGAGGGTGTCTTGCCCCTCCCCACTCCCTGCGGGGGGGCTGGAGTCCCCTGACCCCCGACATCACACGGTGGGAAGGGCGGGAGTCCTTTAGTTCAGCTGAGGAACTGGGGGAATGCCGCTTCCACCACTGGGATTCTGAGGACACTGAGGACGCAGGCCAGGACCAGAACGCCCCTCCACGGAGCACGCGGCCCCCTGAGGGCTTGGGGAGCTGAAGGTCCACCGGGGAGGGGTCCCGCACAGCAGGGCAGGGGCGGCTGCCTGCTTCACTCTGACCTGTCCCTGCGGCTGCCTCGACAGACCTGAGCAGGGGCTGGTGACTCGCTCTGCAGAACCACCTAGGGGGGGACTCCTTCTTCTGGAAGAGGACAGAAAACGTGATTCTGGGAAACAGGATGGATGGGAGCCAGTGCACAGAACACGCATGGGAGAGAAATTCTGCTTCAAATCTCTGCAGACCCGCCTTTGCCCTGACAGGGACGGGGCGGTGGCGCCCCACGCAGGTGGTGCGGAGGCTCTTTGCAGCGAGGCTGGCCAGGGTGCTGGCACGGTGTATGCAGCCAGGCCCCTCGGGACGGGGCTTCCTCCAGCTGCTCTTGGCGGGCAGACCCTGCGGGCAGTCTGTGTCTGGGGCCTGGCTGACAATGGGGGAGGACGGCTGGCTCTTGCCTCAATGGGGTCGGCTCTGAGGGTCACCCCAGCTTCAGATCTCCCCAAGTGAGGCCAGGGGAGGTGAGCTCCAGAGACCACATCTCAGCTCCACCTTCTCTCTGCCCATCTGCCTCCTCCCTCTACCGTGTGGGTCCCCAGGGCTCTCCCCCGCCACCCTGACCCCTCCATCTCGGGGTCCCCCTGCCGCCCAGACACATATTCCATCTCAGGGTCCCCCCACCACCCCAATACGACCTTCCATCTCGGGGTCCCCCCGACACCACCCTCCATCTCGGGGTCCCCCACCACCCTGACACCACCCTCCATCTCAGGGTCCCCCACCACCCTGACACCACCCTCCATCTCGGGGTCCCCCACCACCCTGACACCACCCTCCATCTCGGGGTCCCCCACCACCCTGACACCACACTCCATCTCAGAGTCTGCTTCCTGCAGCCCAACCCTCAACAACCCGCGTTAGCCTAAAAGGGCAGGGAGGACATGAAGCCGTGACGGCGCTGCGCAGGACAGAGGGCGATGAGCTGAACTGGCAAACTATACCCGAGTCTTCTCAGAGGCCGTGTGAGCCCGCAAGGCCTCCTGGTGCACTCAGGAAGTTAGAAAAGACATTCATGACCACTGAAAGCAATTCCACGTCCCTGGAACACTCACGTGGTCCTTTCTCCTTGTTTCCCTGGCCTTTAAGGAGCCCTGGTGGCACAGTGGTTAAGCGCTGGGCTACTAACTGAAAGGTGCGGGGTTCAAACCCACCAGCCGCTCCGAGGGAGAAAGATGTGGCAGTCTGCTTCCATAAAGATCACAGCCTTGAAAACCCTGTGGGGCGGTTCTGCTCTGTCCTACCGGGTCGCTATGAGTGGAATCGACTCGACAGCACCCAGCAACAACCAGCGGGCCTTGTGGGTTGCCACGCCACCCGCTGCTCCTCAGGCACAACAAGTAAAGACAAGTGAGGACACGCCGAGACTGCCGGGGGCTGATTCTCCGGACAAAGGACCCACTGTCGACGAGCCCCCTGACTCATGGCGGCCCCGTGCGTGTCAGTGTACAACTGTGCTCCCTAGGGTTTTCAGTGGCTGATTTTCTGGAAGTAGATGGCCAGGCTTTTCTTCTGAAGACTCAAACTTCCAATCTGTCAGATGGCAGCCGAGTGGGTTAGCCATTTGCACCACCCAGGGACTCCAGTGCTCGGGAAGGCCACACTCCCGGGCTTCCGGGCTAGCACGGAAAGACAGCAGTCAGAGACAGGCGGGTTTGTGACACGCTCTACAGGTCTGGACTCAGGACTCCACGTAAAGCAGCACTCACACAAGCTCCAGACTCAGAAACACTCTGAGGTCGCTATGGAAAACAGCTTCCAGCAGGATGAGCCGGCCCGCGGTGCTGAGCCCGGCCCTCCCGCCTCCCTCGCTGCCCGCTGCCCTCGCTGCCCGCTACCCCCACTGCCCGCTGCCCTGGCTACCCCAGCTGCCCGCTGCCCTGGCTGCCCACTGCCCTGGCTACCCTGGCTGCCCGCTTGCCCTGGCTGCCCACTGCCCTGGCTACCCCGGCTGCCCGCTGCCCTGGCTACCCCGGCTGCCTGCTGCCCTCGCTGCCCCGGCTGTCCACTGCCCTGGCTACGCTGGCTGCCCACTGCCCTCGCTGCCCACTGCCCTGGCTACCCTGGCTGCCCGCTGCCCTGGCTGCCCACTGCCCTGGCTACCCTGGCTGCCCGCTGCCCTGGCTGCCCACTGCCCTGGCTACCCTGGCTGCCTGCTACCCTTGCTGCCCTGGCTGCCCTCTGCTCCGGCCCAGGCCTTCTGTCCCCTTCGACAACACCATTCCCTGTTCCTCTGCACAGCTGAGCACGCCATGCAGCAGGCGTTTTCCCACCCAAAGAAAGTGTACACTGAAGGAGAACTGCTGCCCTGGACTGACGGCTGCGGTCACCAGGTAGAAGGGAGGAGGGGGGCAGCCGGCCACCTCTCGCCACCCAGGCCAGTGGCCTGCGTCCACCAGGCATCACCTCCTCCTACAGGACATGCTCCCCGCATGGCGCCAGAGCTCCTTAACGCCATCCACACCTGGGGCAGCCCGCAGGATGCTAGTCCTACCGCTTAACTGACTTTCGATCCAAGACCAGACGCGGCACTGACCCCATTCAGCTCTTTTTTTCTTCTCCTTTCCTTTCTCATAACAGACTTTTTACAAAAGCCAGGAGCAGGGGAAACAGGATCTAAGATGTGGCGTTTCCTAAGGGACGAGGTCCTTTGAGAACGTACTCTTCCAAAAACGTGTCTCCTCATTCTGACTAAGTATCCGAACAGCTTCTCAGGCTGCAATCTCCCTTAGGGTCCTATCGCTCAGGGAGGGCTGCGTTCTGTTTACACACTTTAAACATCCTTGCAAAGCTGATTCTCTCCTGTAGCGGTCCTTTCTGATTCCTTTGTCTCTCTAAGGGTACTCTCGTTCTATCCTACAAACTATTCAAAAGTATACAGACGGTTAGCTCTATTCTCTCTGTTTACAGTCCACTGCTGTGCAACGTACAAGAAATCATCTCACGAAGCAGAATGTTTAACCCTTGATTTCCCAGAACGGAAGGTGGCAGGACAGACTCCGTGCTTCCCCAGCCTTCCTGTGTCCATCCGGGGAAAGTGTCACACAGGTATGTTTACAAAGTCACAAGCCAGTGGATTGTCCTTCCTAAGTATTTACATTAGGGTTTCTTCCACTGATGGCTGTAACTGAGACTCCTTTGTCCTTTGCTATCCTTCTGTCTTAGCACTTTCTCAAACTCTGCTTGGGGAGCAGGGGGCGGGAAGGAACCGATGCCCTCAGATGCAATGCCTAGACTAAAGTCAGGTCCCGTTACTGTTACTGTCACGACTATCACTGGTATACACTGCAGTGGGCCAGCAATAGGGGGCACTTATAATCCACAGTCATGAGTGATTACACGCCTGTGTGTGTGCAAACATGCATACAAATTACACCCAGCGGCCACGAACCCAGCAGTTCTGACTCTCTGGAGCAATTGGTATGCACCCCATAAATTCAGCTGGCAATTCTTTAACTCTGACTTTTCTCTGCAAGGACACAGTGTCATTTGCGAAAGGCCCATCCCTCACCCCCTGCCCCGACCTCAGTCACAGAGCTGTGAGGTCCCTGGAGGCCCCAGGCCGGCCTGGCACAGTCCTCCCAGGCTGGGGGATGTCTCGGGGAGACCCGAGTTTCTGTTGGCAGAGCTCTAGGGAAGGCCTTAACTCAGCTCCACTCGTCAGCATGACACGGACTGGTTCCGAGCTGGTTCTATGTCTTCCTGGTGTGACTGCCATAATGGCCTTAAACGCGTGCCACTGCAGACGTGGAAAAGGGCCCAGTTTCAGAGGAACCGACCAGCATGCCCGGCGCGGCCTGTGAGAGGCACTTACCACATGGCGTGCATGTAGGTGGGGGGCAGTCGCGGGCTGCTCACTGGGGTGCAGTTGTAAGACCTCATGATCCTTTCTGCTAACAAGAAGTTGCGGAACAGACTCGCCACCAGCAGGTCCTGTCGGAAGAGCTTCTGGAAGAGATCTGAGGGCAAACAAGAGAAAGGATCCCCTATGACTCAGGTCCAGCACTGAGAGCCAGAGACACTAATGTGCCTCCACCAAAATTATCACAGTATGTACGCTCCCCGCTGGCAACACACACACATCCATCCGTATGTAACATGCACACACACACACACACACACATGTCCATACGTACACGCACACACATCCATCCATCCATACATGCACACACATCCATCTGTACACACACATACATACACACATGTCCATCCGTACATACATGCACACACCCATCTGTACACATACACGTGTCCATCTGTACATGTACACACATCCATCTGTACACACATGCACACATATACGCATGTCCATCCGTATGTACATGCACACACCCATCTGTACGCACACACACACATATGTACACCTGTACGTACATGCACACATGCACGCACATATACATACACATGTCCATACGTACGTGCATACACATGCATACATACACACACACCTATGTTCATCTGTACACACAAACACAAATGTCCATCCATACGTATGTACACACACACACACCCAACTGTATGAAGATGCATACGCCCACACACACACCCCTACCACTGTGCCACCAGGGCTCCCCAACCAACCAACCAATAAACATAAGTAAGTCTATAATGGGCAATTTGGTTTAAACCAATATGGAGAGTGCCAATGGTCACCAACAAACGGGGTCGTGAGTCTTCCTGTAAGATAACCTGGTGCTGACAATGAGTGGACACTCCTAGGTCTTGCTCTACCCGTTCCAAGCTCGGCCCATGCGCTCGCTCCGCCCCCACAGAAGCCACGCAGGCTCCCGCCTTCTCCTTCTCAGCACCCCACACCTGTCCGCCTTCCTCCTGGGGAGGGGCGGCCTGGCTCTGCTGGGCCCTCCCCTCCTCACCCCGGGGGAGCACGTTCCAGGCGATGGTGTCCGTGATGGCCGTGAAGATCCAGTTCAGCTCGCCTAGCGGTGTACGCCGGTCGTTCAACCGCCCGGGGATCCTGGAAGACACGCGCCCTTGTTAGTCATGTCCAGGCCACTGGAGAAGGTGATGGCGGAGGCTGTGGTTGGGGGAGCACGGAGTGGGAAGGCAAGCTGGAGGCTCAGACCGAGGGAGGAGCGGCTCAGCACGGGCTGGACAGCCTCCGGCCTCTTGGCGACTTTCCTACTCAGACACTGCTCCTTTCTAAGGAGGACAAAAATGCACGCATCCCCGTCTTAAAAGCCCAGCCTCCACCTTCAGCCTCCCTCCCTCCTCCACATCTGGGTAACACAGTTTCTGCTGGAGCCCCTGGACGTGCGGGCCAACCCCGTGACACCCAGGCTCCCGTGAGCTCCACGTCCGAGAGAGAACACGGACAGGCCCCAGAGGACGGGCCTGGGCTCTCTGTGAAGGGGTCGGCCCCCCATCCTACATCTCAGCCCATCCCCGAGAGCACCCAAGGGGATCTTGTTCTCTGGTTGCCTTCCCGTCCGCTCACTCCACACACTGTCCGAGCACCGGCAATATGTGCAGCACTATCCCAGCGCTGGAACCAGCGACCCCTATGTTTACAGAGGCCTGTGCTCCTGTTTGTGATGTTTGCTCTACTGGAGGACAGATAACAAGCCCATCATTACAAGTACACAGGTACTGTGCCAAGTGGGGGCATGTGCTGTAGAGGAAAATACCACACAGATTGGGGATCAGAAGTGATGGGGGCCACTCCACTGCACACAAGCTCAGGGGTACCTACTAAGCAGCAGGTGTAATCACATCTGACAGGAAACGCTTCCGTTTCTCCCAAAGGAAATGCTCGCAGTAATCTGTTCAGAGTCTAGAGTGTGATTCCTGGTATTTATAAGCTCTGACGGAGCCAGTTCCTGTGACAGTCACCCAGTCAATGGCACCAGCTTTGGGTGCCTCAGTAACAGGCGGCCAAGCGAAGCTGATTTCTCCACGTAACAAAGGAACGAGAAGGAACGCATATCTGTTTCTGCTCATGTGTACTTTCTCTTCTACTAAATCCTTTAGGACTAAACTCTTCCTATGTCCTCAAGTAGGCTTAGCAATAAGACAAAAAAAAACATCAGATGAGAAATGAGAATAAGCTTACGCAGCCTTGTTGCTCGAAGAATGTCAGAACTCCTGGGGGAAAAAACAACACTTCCAAGTTCAAGAAAAAAATGTCTACCTCAGTGGGTAGATTCCAGTCTACCCAAAGAGGTTTTGCTAACCCAGTCAAGTTAGGATCATGGGTGGATGACTTAGAAAGCAATTTTACTTGGTTGTGTGTGTGTGTGTGTGTGTGTGTGTGTGTGTGTGTGTATGTGTGTGTGTGGGGGTGTATGTATGGGTGGTGTGGTGTGTGTGGTATGTGTGTATATATGTGTGTCTGTGTGGTGTGGTATGTGTAGTGTGTGTGCATATGTGTGTTGTGTGAATGTGTGTGTGGTATGTCTGTGTGTGTATATAGGTGTGGTGTGCCTGTGTGTATATGTGTGGTGTGATGTATGTGTGTTTATGTGTGTGTATGTATGTGTGGAGGTGTGTATCTCTGTGTATATGTGTGTGTGGTGTGATGTGTGTATATGTGTGGTGTATGTGTGTGTGGTGTGTGTGTCTCTGTGTATATGTGTGTGTGGTGTGATGTGTGTATATGTGTGGTGTATGTGTGTGTGGTGTGTGTGTCTCTGTGTATATGTGTGTGTGGTGTGATGTGTGTATATGTGTGGTATATGTGTCCGTGGTATGTGTGTCTCTGTGTATATGTGTGTGTGTGGTGTGATGTGTGTGTGTGTGTGTGTGTGTGTGTGTGTGTGTGCAGGTGTGACCTTTAAGGATTCACACCATTCAGGACGGATCAAGGCCTCAAGGCCCAGCTCAGCACAGGAGAACTCTGAGAGCCTCTGGCTTCCTCATCCTAGATGACCATCCCTTCTTCCCCGCTCTTGAATGAAGAGCACCATCACCCAGGTTGTGCGTGGTGGCCAGCCTGCCTGCTGTGCACCCAGGAGTCAGAGAACCGGGGAGGCCACTGACCAGGTGGAGCAAAACGGCCAGTCTCTGAGAAACGGCACCTCAGCTGCGTCTTGCAGCAGGTGTGCGAGGGTGGGTGCGTGCCCCAAGGGGAAGCCTGGGAAGCTCCTCTCCAGCTCGCAGGCTGTGAAGCGCCAGGGATGTCCCGCTTGGCTGCCATGGAAGGGAACACTGCGGGGACGCAGAGAGCAGGGCAGGGACTGAGAGGGTGTCACTGGTGGACATGAGTCCTCAACGCACTAGTGTGTGTCTTGGGTCCCACGTCGGCAGATGAGAGACACGTTTACTGAGGACCTTTGTGATAAAATGATAAAATGATTTACAAGATCATCCAACACTCGGCACAAATGCTGACCCTCTTCTAGTTCAAGGACTACTACTGGAGGCAGCTGCCTGTCTTCTGCGTCGAGGGGGTGTGGACAGAGAAGACAGGCATTGGAGGACCTGGCTTACAAGCAAAATCTCTGCTGTCTGAGACTAGCAGAAACACGAAGCGCTGAAGTGTGCCAGGGACAGCGTCCCAGACAACGCTAACCTGAATAGCGTATCACCGTTCTCTCTTTTAACGTTGATTTGTTCATCATCAAAGACAAGCCCACTCCTGCCAGGCTTCTGTCTGTCCACTCACGCTGGGACCTGGCACAGGGCCACAGGCAGGAGGCCCCGCTGGACTCAGCACACCCAGGAAGTGCGCTGTAGGCCAGCGTCTTCAGTGGGCACACAGCCATGACACGCACATGCATGCAAACGAAAGGCTGGGGTGAGCCGCGGGCCGCACTGCTCAGGAGGACTCCGGGGACAGCTCTGGCGCGCTGTGGCCCTCGAGGGCGATGCACCGGGAGCGGGAGTTGGGGGGTCCTTCCGGGAAGCACCCATATACGAAGGTCAGTAAAACGCTCATCTCCTTCCCCTCAGGAGCCCCACTTCCAGGAGTCAAGCCTACACTGGAAACTTGGAAGGGGGACACGGCAGTGTGCTCGGAGACACAGAGAGAAGTCGGAGGTGGCTGACGACCACCAGCAAGAGAGGATCAAGGGCATTACAGCACAGCCACAACAGAACACCTACACACCATTAAACTGCTACTCATGAAGATCTTGGTAACACGGGCAAAGTCTGCTTTGTAACATTAAGAAGCAGATATTGCGTGGCCGCAATTACACAGACGTGCGTGAGGGGGGATGACGGGAGGAAAAGCCTCTGAGTGCTGGGGACACTCCTCGCCCTCAGGTTTCACACAGTCACGGTTCACCACAGTCCGTGTGTCCGACTGCACAACAGGAACCATGGGCTCCGAGCGGCCTCCTCGCCTGCTTGGCCCTGGGTGACGCTGTAAGGCTGGGCGTGGAGGGGGGAGCCCTGGAGTGGTGGGCGGGTGACACGGAGGGTGGCTGGGAGAAGTGCAGGTACGAGCCAGTCGAGGCAGACCGACGGACCAGGTCCATGGGTGAAGCACACCGCCGACGGGAGCCGTCTGCCCCAGGTTCTCAGGGCCTGATCCTGGCTGACGGAAGTGCAGACCGAGAAGCGGGCACTGCTGACGAGGTGGAGGGAGGGCGGCAGGCTCCCACCCTCGATCACTGTCAGATGGTAGGAAGGAACGGAGACTGAGTCTTTGATGGGGTTGGGGTCAGGGCGGATTTGGTCATCTCTTAAACATTGCTGTCTTGTGACAATCACTGCGGACAAATGCAAACCTAGAATCCTGCTACTGCGTCTAGGACAACAATCTCCTCAAGTTCCACTGATCTTCACTCAGCTCATGGTGAGACCACAATGTCAGAACGACCGTCTGGAAGTCAGTCAGTCAGCCAGTCAGTCAGCCAGCCAGTCAGCCAGCCAGTCAGTCAGCCA